TCTTTTATGTAAACACAAATCAACCATGAAGCCTCCCTCAAAGACAACATTTAACATCTTGTTGTTTCATTTGCAATGATTTAACCCGCCCCCCCACCCCGAAATTCACAGAGCCAGTTAACTGGAAACCCACCCACCTACGAATAATACAGAAAAACACAATAACAATTCCAGCTTCAAGAGATATTTGAAAACTGTTTGTATTACTTTAAGGTGCAATATTTTCTATAATTACATAATTTGATGATATGAATATGACGCCGTTCCACATGTCTGAGATCGTTAAGCATTTTAAAATGAACAACAGGACTCCAAACACATTGCTGTATATTGGAGAGAATATTTTAGTCATGAAAATATTATACCACCATTTTTTTCTTTTTACCGAGAAGATGAAGCAGAATATCAGAATATATTTCTGTTTATTTATTGATTTGGTGCAGGAAGAAATTACTTCAAATATCAATGTGTCAAAAGTGAGAGACTCAGCATATATAATCCTGCTATCATATTTAGTTTCTTACATTTTTTAATCCAAATGACCTGTTTTTAGATGTTAGGTATGTGTACAACGTAGATTATTTCAGACTCAATGCCTTGTTGGAGCACATTTCGGGCTGTTTTCACATTTCCCCTTGTGATACCGCTGAGACGCTGTACTGGATGCTGTACGTAGTATGATTATATGGAAAAGTAAACATAGTAGAAATTCTATCATAAATTGCAAACTATATACACACAGACAAACACACACACACACACACACAGGTTTGTAATTATATCTTTGTGGGGACTCTCCATTCATTTCTGTGGGGAAAACTCTAATCCCAACAAGACTGTAACCCCTACCCAACCCTAACCTTAACCATAAGTAACCAAATTTTTAGTTCTTTGATTGCATTCACAGATCTTTGTGGGGACCTAGAAAATGGTCCCCACAGCATCAAAAAAACAGGTCTTTATCACATTGTGGTGAACACTTGGTCTCCATCAGCCTAGAGGAAGCACAGTGATACAGCTGTGTGGATGGATTGTACCTCCAGTACTTCAATTTGGTGACTCCAGTTCACCTTGGCATGTTTTTCGGCTGTGGGGGGAAACTGGAGGAAAGCCCACAACGACACGGGGAGAACATGCAAACTCCACACACATGGAGCCATGGCAGAGACTTGACGTCGGTGTGAAGGCAACAGGACTAATGATTGCCTGGTATTCAGTATTCGCCATTGATTGGTTCAGGTGCGCAGGCAGCTGGGAAGAAGCAGAATTATGGGCTGTCTGAGGTCCCCCGAGGAACGGGCTGGGAAACACCATGTCAGTCCAAGCAAAGTAAAATAGCAATTTTGTTTCTAAAATTTATCTTAATGAATGAATGTTTACTTCAGTTAATTTGTCTCACTGTCATATAGGTAAGTATGAACAAGCTGCGTTTTAATGTACTACCAAGTGCTGTCATGTTATATTTTACCCCAGGCAATATTTATTATTATTTCTACTGGCAGAGAATGTATGTTTCCTAACCTTGCTTAAAATAAGCAAAATGAATAAATATGAATTCCATGAGTAACCAAAGGGTGTCTGGGTAATTAGCACTGTTGCCTTAAACCTNTTCCTAACCTTGCTTAAAATAAGCAAAATGAATAAATATGAATTCCATGAGTAACCAAAGGGTGTCTGGGTAATTAGCACTGTTGCCTTAAACCTCTTGGGCAGGAGGTGTGAAATCCACCTCTGATCTATTTGTGGAGTCACTATGTTAAAAAGCAGTAAGCAAATATCATGCCTACTCATCCAGATAATGGCTAACTCTTGATAATTTTTCTTATTTTTTCAACCTGGGTTATGATGTTAATAGACTTACATGATGCAACCTAATCTCAGCTAGCATGGTCTTCAAAGAACAGCAATGTGTTCCTAACCTTGCTTAAAATAAGCAAAATGAATAAATATGAATTCCATGAGTAACCAAAGGGTGTCTGGGTAATTAGCACTGTTGCCTTAAACCTCTTGGGCAGGAGGTGTGAAATCTACCTCTGATCTGTTTGTGGAGTCACTATGTTAAAAAGCAGTAAGCAAATATCATGCCTACTCATCCAGATAATGGCTAACTCTTGATAATTTTTCTTATTTTTTCAACCTGGGTTATGATGTTAATAGACTTACATGGTGCAACCTAATCTCAGCTAGCATGGTCTTCAAAGAACAGCAATGTGATTGGCGGGTAGGAAGAATTGCCCTGAGTAAGCATTAGGACAGCACTCCATGTTTCCCAGTTTAGGCTGCACATCACTGCTTTCCTCATTGGATAAGCAGTTACTCAAAATGGGTGGTTGAATGAACAATTAAAATAATGCCGCGAGGCTAAAAAGCCAAATAAACACTCCTTTGAAATTATTACAAAAGTAAACCACGTTTTTAGTTGGATGAGAACTAAAGAGTGAGGACAATAATCTATGTACATCTAAGTAAATAATAATCACAATGATTATTAAATGTGTTCATTTCATTGTCTGCATTTATGTAAAGACATAAGCTGATATTAACATAATGCCTTCAGGGATTGATATTTTTCTTTTTTAAACCACATGAAGAATAAAAGTTTTGCAAAAACTGTTGTTTTACTACATATGATATATACTGTATGTATCAACCCTTTACTCATCATTGCCATCTTGTGGACAATGGTTGCTGTGTTCTGCAAAATTGACAATGGTGGATAGTAAACAAGAGTTTGATCATTAATAATGAATTAGAAGCTGTTATAATTCGCTATATTGGGCTGTTAGAGATTTTTTTCTAGCATGCATCCAGGTCATGATCATCATGCTGCTTTTTGAAACCTGTTGAACTCCAGGTCACTTAAACTCAATGTTAAACATTGTATTTCTAATACTTCTACACTGTGCAAAATTAAAACAGTGAACTTACTTCTGTACTTTTACACCAAAATTGCACAAATACAGAACCATTGCACATGTCAAAACCATGAAAGATGATGCACGATTGTGTGTATTTTGGGCTTTTTATGTAAAAGCAGGGCTCTTTTTGTGTAAAAGCAGGGCTCTTTTTGTGTAAAAGCAGGGCTACTTTTTATACATTCGATGCTTTCTAATTAATTACTCTTATTTTTCTCAGTTACCCACAAATATCTGCTCTGCGTTCACATAAATGAAATGCAGCCTACAGTTTGCCTGTTGATAAAATGCATTAAACAGGGTGTATAATTTCAGGGTGCCACATCAGTAACTGTCACGGCATGTGACAGTGGAACCGGACAGTTTGTTACACCATCTGCTTGTGTTCCTGAGTGAAGCTACTTGGCCTTTTTCTGGAAGAAGGCTCCTAAAAGTTCCCTCCCAGCAGTGACATGCAGCCATACCCCCACATTACGGCGCATGCTGGTTTACAAAGAAAATATCTTGTGCTTTTTGGCACTTTCTATGAATAATACAATTGATTTAAAAACTGATAAGGTTACACTGTATCACTGGTCACAAATCTCATAAGAACCCAAAGGAAACCAATGAGTTTTCCGATTGGTTAAAAACTGTTTCTTCCCAATTATATTTTAATAGCACTGCTCCTTGCCTCTCTCTTTCTCTCTCTCACACGCACATGCAGTTTACATTCTTATAAACACCAGTTTTTCCATACATCTCAGGCTAATTGTGTATATAGTACTCCACCTTGCATGTGGTACTGGCCCTTTAAATCTTGTCTCTTTATAATTCCTTCAGTGAGCTTCTGCTTGAAAAAAATAAAAAGAAGAAAGAAAGAAAAGCACACGCTCTATGGACATGCACACATGTACGCCGACCGCGTAAGAGGCCCTAAACCAAGTGGGAGGCAGAGGGCAGAACTTTCCGTCAGCATTTGAGAGGAGCAGGATAATGTCTTGTTGCTAGTTTCACTTAAAGGATTTTTCAGTTCCTGAGGTTATTGATTGTGCCATTTGTCTAATAGGGGTGAGAATGCTGTCACAAATTTTATGGATTTTGTATTTCTCATCATTTTGCTTTTTTCATCATGTTTTAATCAGGTAAGAGATTTCCAAAACTATATTGATTTAGTAGCCTGCATAGAAATAGGTTTTGCCTAAAAATAAATGAGAATCTTCATTATTTAATGCTGAGTGTTTTAATAGGATACAGATCTGAATTTTAATTTGTGTGTTTGCCGAAATTAAACCAAGAACAAAATCTGTGACAAGTTTTCCATTCCTTTAAAGGGTCAGAATAGAACCTGCTATTTAATATTGTTCATATTTAAGAAGATAGGTGATGTATGTTGCTTGGGATCAAATCAGCTACTCATGTGTAGCTAAATTATGGTTTAATAGTTTTACAGAAGTATATTTAATACTTATATCAGAAATTAAAGTATACAGGCAGAAAAATATGTTTCCATGAAAATTGTATTAAATGGCGAAAGCAAAAAGTCAACAAAAATCTTGGAGAAATTCTGTGAAGATATTTCAGTATAAATGCTACCTTTGTTCAAAGTAGCAGCAAAGTTTAATAAACGCATAGCAGGAATTATGACGCCACTAACGCAGTCACACCTGACTTATGGATGTACACCATAGCTGAGGGAGGACTTACACTATAGCTGAGGGAGGACTTACACCATAGCTGAGGGAGGACTTACACCTGTCAAGCTTTCGCTTAACCTGTGCTTTTGTTACAATGTTTCAATCACGTTCTACAAATTCTTGCTTATATTCAAATGTTTGATGTTTCAATGGAGTTATGATCAGTAATTTATATGTATCCTCAGCAGGAATACTTTGGATAGGACTTTGAATGCTAAGTCTAACAATTTTATGTTGAATCCTACACCAGTATAGATTTCAGTCAATTCAACTGTGCAATATCCTAGTGATAGACTATTATAAACTGGAGATCAGAAACATCACCACAGCAGTAAAATCAGGGTGGAGAGTTGGGCTGGGAGTGGACTGGAATCGTGGGATTGAACAGGGATTGGGGGGCATCTCTGGACCTGTCCTGATCCATCACAGACACAGCATCAGCATCTTATGGTCTGCAGAAATGACAAACTGAAGGTGCACAAACATAGGAATTAAGGAAAAAATTAAGACCTTTGGATTGACTGGAAATCAGTTTAACTGGCTTCTCCTTACAAAATTCAACATGGAATTACTGAAGTATGAATTGAACATAAATCATACAATTTTATACATCAACTACTGACACTTTTTAAATCTTACATATTTCGCACCTCCTCTGTGCTCTCATGTTTTTCTCCTGGCACTTCCTCTTGTGGTTCATGTTTATTGTACTGTAGATGTATCAGTGTTAGCTCTCCTGCTACAGTTATGAATGATTAAAACATTCTCCAGTTTGATTGGGTAACAGAAGGAATGACTCACAAATTGTTAGTTTTGACAGTGATGATAAATTTTAAGCAGTTGTGTTTCTAATTTAAGAAAGAATGCATTTATGATTTTCTATTCTCAGTGGAAAAGCTACCAGAGCACTTTTATACTAACTAAGGATTGCCAGTGTAATTACTTCATCTTATGTGAACATAGTATTTTAACTGTGATCATTTTCGGCATCCAAACAGCAAAAATAAACAACAAAATACCAGTTGGGGACCTTTAAAATGTCTCTGCAATTACCTGGTTTTCCACATTGTGGCACTATAACATATACATGGTGGTTACAATTAAAGACAATGATTAAATATTAAAGATGCAAATGCCCATGGTGGGCATGGCTCGCAGGGCACATGCCAGCCTACGCTGGGCTTTATCGCAAAGTCTGGTGCTCTGCTGCTGGTCAGGAGGTACAGTGTGGCGCCTCAGTGTCTGGTCATGTTTCCAAGCCCAGCTCTGTGTCTGTACAATTTGCATCTTACGCACATATTTTCACATGGGTTCCTGCCCACAGTCCAAAGACTTACATTTTACATAAAATTACAGTCCCTGAAATTCTCTGTGAAACACTACCATCCAAATGCATGATGTGGCCTGTGCTTCATAGGCCCAGCGACGGCAAATTTGATGCACGGTTCTAGGAAACTGAACCAGATCTTAGATGAAATTTTAAATATTCTGTTTAGAATACACTGTATTTTACACATATTTGACAAATTGCAAAGTTTTATTTTTGCATCTCTCCTTCAGTGGATTTCTGCTTTGTACTAATGGCTCAGTAACATTAGAAATGTGTGTTTATCGCAGATATTGATACTATTATTTATGGTTAACTTGCATTTAAAGTGGAAGGTATAAGTCCCGATTCTTTAAACCTTTTCTTTCTTTCCTGCAGTTCTTTGTGGCCACAAGGGCACCAAAAAATAATAATGAGATGAAATTACATGGTTTTCAGGCAGATTTTTTAGGCCGGCGATAGCGGAAAAGTTAAAATAGGATAGTGAATGGCATTTTTCTTAGGGAGACGAGGCTTGGCGACCACTCCCTCGAGGGCTGTGCGGTTCTCCTGACTGATTAAAGGTTCCGCTGTGAATGAGAAGGCAGCAGATTGTAAGGTGAGGTCTTAGCAGTGAATAATACTCTACATGACAGTTTCTCATTGGTAAATGTACTTTAGGGACAGGATCAGTTATACAGGGACAGACAGAAATATGGATGTAAAAATGGTGTAGATTTATATCAATGGTCAGAGTCAGCTTATATTCAAACAGCATTTATTCCATGAGGAAACGGGACAGTCTTATCAGCAGGCATTGGTGGCTGTACTGTTTGCATTCATGTACTGTAAGCATTCATGTACTGTATTCATTCAAGTGCTGTAAGCATTCATTTACTGTATTCATTCATGTGCTGTATGCATTCATGTACTGTATTCATGTACTGTATGCATTCATGTGCTGTATTCATGCACTGTATGCATTCATGTGCTGTATGCATTCATGTGCTGTATTCATGTACTGTATGCATTCATGTACTGTATTCATTTGCTGTATGCATCCATGTACTGTATGCATTCATGTGCTGTATTCATGTACTGTATGCATTCATGTACTGTATTCATTTGCTGTATGCATCCATGTACTGTTTCCATGTACTGTATGTATTCATGTACTGTATGTATTCATGTACCGCGTGCCTTTGTCCTCTACCTGTCTAAGTAATCTGGTCTTTCTCTGTTTTCCTTGCCTAATATTGATTTTCTTGTGCTTCCATCTCAGTCCTACTTTAATATTCATCAGAATTTATTTTGCAGTTATTATGTTACATTTTTATGTTTTGGTGTTTTCCTATTTGTGGTCATGCTATCATGTCACTTAAGGTTTTTTTCAGACCAAGGCCCACTCTAATGGAAGGCAAAGTATATAAGAGGGTCTAACTCAGGGGTGTTCAATCTTATCCGCAAAGGGCTGGTGTGTATGCAGGTTTTTGGGATGACCTGTATGTCAGCTGTTCAAACCCAGGTGTGAGGACTCTTCAGCCAATCAGTCTTCTAATTAGTAATCTAATAAGGGAGTTGCAGCGAAAACCCGCATACACACCGCCCCTTTGCAGATAAGATTGGACACCCCTGGTCTAACTGAATGACTTAGTGTGTTTTGTTAGTTGTAATCAGGTCTTTGTTTTATATACCATAGCTATGTTTAGAGGGTCTGTGCAAAGACAGGCCCGGAGGCTTAACTGCAGAAATCACGTATTTGTTCCCACTTAAGGTGGCATCATTTAGATAAGATGCTGGTCCCCGCGTGGGACTGACAGATTGTATTATCATGAAAATACTTAAAGGAATAAAATTAAAGGTTCATCATTTCAAACCGGGCAACTTTATTCAATTATATTTTAAGGTAATTCTAATTTATCTTCATTTACATAAGCATTTTTCTCCTTATATATTGTATATTTACTTTAATAGTTTACAAAAAATTGTGCTTTTAGTTCAGTCAGACTCACAAATTTGGATTTATACTGCATGGCTTTTATTTAGTGATGTGCTGGTGGCGCATTTCAGCAATCCTCTGTTTAATCACATATCAATGCACAAAATAAGTTTCATAATTGTTTTCAATAGTACTTTAGTACAAACATCAAACCATACTGTATTAAATTAAGTAGAATTTTTAAGTTAGTATTTAAAATACCATACTCTGATACTATATATGTTTCTCTGAAGAGTGTCACCTGTTTTTAATACAAAGGGTAGAGTCTTTAGATTGTAACAGTGTTTGTGTCTTTATGTCTAAATAGTATTTTTTTCTTCTGCTTACTAAAGTGATATAAGTACTGTATTTAATTAAAGTGTGTTTGAAAGCAAACTTGCTAATGGAAAGTAATTGCTTGTGTTTGCTGTGTGTTTTGCACCTTATCTGCAGAATATTTCTCACCGTGTGAATTTAACGCAGACTACAGAGCATAGTTTCTCAGAATTCTTATTAACAGTTTATTGGAAAATATTGTAACAAAGTGTAGCTGAAACCAATGGCAGCCCTTGCAGAATCTAGGGCACATCACTGCAATACTTAACATGTAGCTGCCACAACTGACTTTTCATTCTTATGCACAAGGTGAAAATATAAGAAGATGGCATTTTATTTTTTGAATTGTAATCCTTCACTTGAAGTCCTTCAGATTATGTTAGTTATAGTGGCACCTTTTTCCCTCAGTCTTCTCTTCGCGTGGCGACGAGTGATTTTTATTGTAGCCACAATGTGGGAGGATCCAACCTGTGTTTAACAATTCAAATAGGAATATTTATAAATGGTTGGATGATAGCTAATGACTCTCAGAGCCAGATTCAGGGAAATGCTGCATAATTTCAGCTACAATTTCATTATACATTTACAAACATACTTCAGTTAGAATATTTTAAAATAAACACAAAAATACATAGGCATAGCTTACAGGAACGGAGAGGTAACTGGAGGTCACAAACATAATGAGAAGGCCTTTTCTTACATTGCAGTTGTCTTGAGTCCTACTCTGACCGTATTTTATTGAGCTCATGGAAGCTTATGGGAGGCTGTTAACTCTCCTCTTGCTTCCCTCACAATTAGATCCCCACAACTTGACGACAGCTCTTGCTAAACCAAACCAAGCCACCATATATCTGGCTTTCATTAATCGCCGTTGCTGTTGTTGTTTCAGCATTTCAGTATAACAGTTGCAGTTTTTCAACTATATGGGCGTGCGTGTTTTTAAAGTGATGACTGCAGTCACTGTGAATGTATGAGGATGGAATGTTATATGGGGCCTGGGTGAAGGGAACAGGGGTCCCAGTGATCTAGGAGAGGCAGGATGAACTCATCAGCGAAGATCATTAGGAAGGTGTGCACTGCAGTGCGTCCCAAGCTGGGTCTGAACATCAGCAAAAAAACACACATGACAATGGCCTTATCCATTTAAACATTTCATTAAATTAGCATCAAGGGTTTGTGAACTGCTAATATGGGAGGGAGATAATTAGTTTCAGTGACAGAATTATGTATAAGGATGAAAAAAAGTTAGAGATTTTGGTAACACTGCACTTAAGGGTGCTATTCATAAGGCTACATGACACCAACATAAGCCCTTCATGACAGCCACCGTATCTTGACCAAAGCATTTATAAGGGTTTGTTCCAGTTTCTGTAGATGTTATAAACGCTGACATTGGCAACTGTGTGTGTGGTGGAAGAACATGACAAGATACAATCCACCAGCCTCTGGAGGTGTGAGACGATGCTGCTGTTCAATGTCCCCATGTGTAACGGTCCTTTAAAGAGTGTTAACCTTTTATGTCACTTGAATGAAAAAAGTGTCATAACACAACTTTATGTCAGCATAACCCTAAGACAGTCAACGAAGGTGATATGTCAACATGACACTGGAGTTCCCAATGTCAGCACTGAAGACAGCTACAAAAGTTGGAACGAACCTTTATAAATGCTTTTGTCAAATATGCTGTCATGAAGGGCTTAAGCTGTGTCATGCAGCCTTATGAAGAGCAAAATGTTACTGACATTTCTTACACACAGCTGCACAAAAATATAAAGAAAGTTCTGCCCTGTTTGCATTTGTCTTTCTGATCCCCTGGACTAAATGTAGTTCTGATTGATCTAATATTATGAAGATCCACGCATGTTTTGTTCTATGCCTCTAATCTCTTGTCTTTCTGTTTGGTTACTTGACACCCCATAATCATAATGGCAGGCCAGGTTCCTGTAAGGAGGAGGTAAAGTCTCCAAACAAAGCTACCCCAAAGTCAATGTCTCCGTCAGATTTCCTGGACAAACTCATGGGACGAACATCGGGGTATGATGCCCGCATTAGGCCCAACTTCAAAGGTATACTGGCAAGACAATAAAGCACAAGCGTTACATTTAGTTATATAGAATAAATCTCCAAAAAAAAGGACTTTTGTACCACTCTAGTAGATTAGTAGTCTATGGAACATTTCTCAGAAGCAAACAATAGTTGCTATCAGGATTTCCAAGTTTAACAGAAAGTTAGAAGGATGGTATTTGGCTGTTGTATTAACCCATGAAATGTAATGTTAGCTGAGGCACTCGCTGCATTTTCTTAGCAGTTCTTCCACTATTTAACAATAATCTGTGAAGTCTCAGTAACAGTAATACCTATGTTAATGAACATGAAATGAAATTATAAAATATTAATATTATATGTAAATGATCACTGCATTTGCATTTGACTCATGATTATATAAAATAAAAATGATATACAATTAAACCTATCACTAATGATTATGTATTCAAAGTAATATTATTATGATTATCCCTATATATTTAAATAAAGTTTTTTTAAATATACTGAATATTCTAGAAAACATTTTCTTTTTTGCAAAATAAATTCCCTGTATTCATGTATTTTCTTTAGGTCCACCTGTTAATGTTACATGTAACATCTTCATCAACAGTTTTGGATCCATCACAGAAACAACTATGGTATGACAAACAATCTACTGCAATCTGATTTGTGTCTAAAGAAGTTTAATCTTTTTCTAGTTGGTTGTTTTCATGCTGCGAACAAAACTTATCTGCTGCTAAGCTGCTAATGTAACTCACCACTGGGGCAGGTCAGCTTTTGTAGAGCAATTAGATCAAGGCATTAATTAGCTGATTATGAATGCATCTGTTTACATGGACACTCAGTAAAACATGAATAGGAGTTGTGACAGTGCAGATTATAGCTATCTATATAATTCCGGATTCAAAGAACCAGAATTCTAAGATCTGCATCTTGTTTGTTCTACGCTGCAGGACTATCGTCTGAATGTGTTCCTACGGCAACAGTGGAATGACCCCCGGCTGGCATACAAAGAATATCCCGATGACTCTCTGGACCTGGACCCCTCCATGCTGGACTCGATATGGAAACCAGATCTCTTTTTTGCCAATGAGAAGGGTGCTAACTTTCATGAGGTCACCACTGACAACAAACTGCTGCGTATCTTCCAAAATGGAAATGTGCTCTACAGTATTAGGTATGCTGACTTGCAGGCATCTGCAGGGTGAAGCATATTTCCAAGTTCTTAAACTCATTTATTTAGAGTTGCCAATTCTCCACTGCTCTATTCATCACGCTGTACTGATGCTTTGCTTGTGTTCTATTCAATTCTTTACTTTTTATTTTTCTGCCTTTTCTCGGGGTCCTGCTTACGGCTTCAGACTAACATTGATCTTGTCCTGTCCGATGAACTTGAAGAATTTTCCAATGGATATTCAGACCTGCACCATGCAGCTCGAAAGCTGTGAGTTTTGCCTTGTCTGATTTTGTCCTCTTTCTCTGTCTCCCTCACTCTCTCACTTTCTTTGACTCGGGTTCTATGTTTCTATCATACATAGACACACAAATTAAGAAACTGAAACACACTGAAAACAAATGTTCAGTACTTGACGGCATCATTTTGTCCCGAAAATTTGTCCCTTTAAAATTAAAGTGATTGTTTGATTGAAATTACAGGCAGTTCCTTGGTTACAAATGAGATCCATTACCTAAGTCTGTCTTAAAGTCAATTTTTTTAACTAAATTATTATTATCATAAGTAGTAATTATAAAACTAAGTATGCTACTGTACTGAAACTCAAGCCAACAAACATCTGAAACCGTGCAATATTTTCTTGAGCATCACAAAGTAGTGCATGCATTCATTATTACCAACCATTGCATTTAACAATTTTTTTTATATAATAGACTTTATGGCAGTCCATTCTTAAGTACGAATTGTCTTGGACATTCTTAACCTGGGGACTGCCTGTAGACAAATTAAGTGTATGCAAATGGTTATGAAATTCTTACAATCAAGTCATGCACGGTCGTTTCACTGTATATACAAGTATAAATAATGTGTGACAATGCATTAATCCTGCTCAATAATTAAAAATCTTCCTTCTGCATTTGTTATCAAAATTTTTCTTGTTCAGAGGCAGAAGCATATATTATTACACCTGGAAAGATGTATTTTGCCATTAGTTATGTTCCATGACAGAAAAAAATATTCTTGCACATTTTACTGCATTAGCCTATTGTGTACAGGATATTTTCTTAATTACCCGCAAATCAACATCAATCATCAATCAATATGCAAACTGGCAACATTGTTTACCATTTTACTATGCCTTTGTTAACAAGCTTTATCATGAATATTTTTTTCCTAAACATTTTATTATTCAGGATGTTTTCATTAAAGCTTTAATTAAGGTTTTTGTTCACATGATAACTTTTATATGAAACATGTAAACTTTAGCAACAGAGAAGGTCTACATTTTCAGTTAGATACTTTTTCTTCTGGATTAAAAAATGCATTTTAGGGAAATTATGTGACAAAAATGTGTTCATTTACCAAATCATTCAGTGCTTAGTGAATTGATCATTGAGAAGTGCCTTTAAATATATTAGCCTACCAGATTATTGGAATAATTGTCACTATCTGTTCTGTTGAAGGTATATTACTTACAAGTACTTTTGTTCCCAGCAAGTGCTTCTCAAAATGAACACATACACTTAACATCACGGGTACACACCCAATCTTCACTATTACATCACTGGAATTAAATATTAAAAACAGAATGATGTTCACCTCCTTTTTTCATCCTTAATGACTAAAGTTTTTGATGAAATGTTTATCAAAGAGCGCTCTCATTTGAAGGTCATTATAATGATGCACATGTTCAGCTGTCTCAAGGCAAAACCCCCCCTTCTACAAACCCGGGAACCCCCCCCCCACAAGGCCCCGGGCAACCCCCCCCCCCCCGGTCACCAGGCACCCCCCCCCCCCCCAGCTA